GGAGGCAGTGAGGGCCATGCAGGAAGCATGTGACAGGCTTCTCCAAGGGATAGATACACCTGATGAAGATACAGCAAGAGGAGCCACTGCCAGAGCTCCTGGAGGCAGAGTCCACATGGAGGTTATTCAGGGATCGATCGAGAGCCAACAGGTGAGAAACGCTGCTGTAATTAAAATAAACAACACCTTGCAATAAAACACATTTTCTAAGCCCACCAAATCCCCTGCTCTTCTCCTAGGTGGATGCTTTGGTGTCTCCTATGGTTGGTCATGATCCTCTCTCTACCCGTGTTGGAAATGCTTTGTTTGAAGTAGCTGGACCACAGCTGACCACAAGGTTTAGAAAGGAAGCAGAAGATGAAACAATGCCTGGTGACTCAGTACTGCTGGAGGGCTTACCTGGACTTCAGTCTAATGCAGTCTTCTTCCTCAATCTTGTTCCCTGGGATGGTGACCCAGACGGAGTTGCAGTCCAGGTGAGATAGTAAAGGAGGGATTTTATTAGTCTGCCTGTTTGTGAGGACATTTTTTAATGAAGCCATTTGTCTTAATCCAGTATTCTTATGTGTTATAGGTTCTTCGAATGGGCATCAACACAATCCTATCTTCTTGTGAGAAGAAAGGATTCAGATCTGTCGCTCTTCCCGTCCTCGGTGCTGGGATGGCCCTGCAGTTCCCTGTCAGTGAGGTGGTGAGGGCTTTAAAGAAGGAAGTTCATGTATTTGAAGAGGAACGAGCGGGCATCACACCACTCCTGATCCGCATTGTCATTCACCTCGATGACGAGTCAGATCAGGTAATGACAAAGCACTTTTTTCTTTAAAAATTACCACCAACACTAAAGTCTGATATTGATTTTGTTGTGCTTAGAAAAAATGAAATTGTAAAACACCACAACAGAAATTCATGTGGTACAATGGGATATATATGTGACAGTATTAAAAGTCATCTTGTTTGCCAATATCATTCTTTTCTGACACCAAATTTTGGTGTAGCATTTATTTTTTTCGAACGGCAACTGGGCTTTACAAAACTTAATTTATGCTCCTACTTGCTAACATAATGTGTATCAATAATTCACCAATCACGTTTTGTTTCCTCTGCATCTAATGAATATATAAAGGAACTCTTACTAATGTAATAATTTGTTGTCTTTGCAGACATTTGGCTCAGTCCAAAAAAACAAATTCACTGAAGGTGTTCACCATAAAGACCAAGATCAAGGTTGGTGTAGAAAATATCCACAGATAATAATCCTGACAGTGCTTTATTTATATATATATATATTATATTAATATATATTATATTTATATATATACTATATATATATATATATATATTACTATATTATAATATATAATACTTTTGCTTTGTTGTGTTGTGTGTGTGTGTGCGTGTGATGGGAGTGTGTTATTAATATGTATGTGCTATAATAACTATATATTATATATATTATATATATGTATAGTCTGTGTATTATACTATAAGTTCATATATAGTGGTGTGTGTGCGTGTGTGTGTGTGTCTGGTAATATATATATAATATTACTATTATATATTGTGGTATGTATGATAGGTGTGTATGTGTGTGATGTGTGTGCTGTGGTGTGTGTGTGTGGTGTGTGTGTGTGTGGTGTGTGCTACTTATATATATGATACTACAGAAGAGAAGATTAATACTATCATATAATATATAATATATATATATACTTATACCACATGTTGTTGTGCTTCGTATATTTATATATATATGTGTGTGTGTGTGTGTGTGTGTGTATATATATATGTGTGTATATATATGTATATATATATATAAAAATTTTAAAGGGACTGCATTAAAACATAAATAGTAAATTGTGACATCTAATAGAGCATTTGAAAAAAAAATCATCAAAGAGCCAATTTGTGAATGATTGCATTAACCCTACTAATCACTGGCTTGACCTAGCAAATTTCCTTAGTGGACCAGTGTTCTCATCTTATCATTTAATATTGATTCTGTATCTGACTAAAACGGTTCAGTATCTATTGCTTCCTGTTTCAAACTTCAAACCATAAGCAAAACACCCTTTTAAGAAGGGAGAAAAAAGTAAGAAACACATGTACTTAACAGAGTCATTGTTCTCCTGTAGAGTCAACAACAATGAGGTTGGTCCTGCTGGGAAAAACTGGATCTGGGAAAAGTCACTTGGGTAACAACATTCTTGGAGAGGAGCTGTTTGCCACTTATGACTCTCCAAACTCTGGGACAATGAAATGCCAAACAGAAACCAAAACAGTCAGTGGAAGAAGCATCACTCTGATCGACACCCCTGGTTTCTTTGACACAGGAAGGTCTGAGGAAGATCTGAAGCCTGAGATAATGAGTTGTATGACAGAGTGTGCTCCTGGGCCTCATGCTTTTCTCATTGTGCTTCGAGTGGATAAATTCACAGAGCACGAGCAGGCTGTCGTCACTAAGATACATCAGTCTTTCTCAGATGAAGCTCTAAAATATGCTGTAGTTGTTTTCACTCACGGTGATCAGCTCAAGAAAAAGATGAAAATTGAAGATTTTGTCAGTCAGAACAAAAATCTGAGTGATCTGGTGTCAAAGTGTGGTGGTCGGTGCCACGTCTTTGATAACAAACACTGGAACAACAACCAGCCAAATAACTACAGGAGCAACCAGTTCCAGGTGGAGGAGTTGCTGAAAACAATAGAAAAAGTCGTGGTGGAAAAAAACGGAGGCTACTACACAAATAAAATGCTGCAACATGTGGAGACGGCAATACAAGAACAGGTAGAGCATATTAGACACTCAATGCCAGATAAAACCCCAGAAGAGATCAGAAAGCAGGCTAAAACTAGTGTGTTTAAGAGGTTTGTGATCCAAACGACAGGGATTGCAACAGGAGCTTTGCTCGGTGCTTTATTTGGTGTAGTAACATTGTGTGAATTTGCTGTGAAATCTGTGAAGAACTCACAACTGATGAGTGTCACAAAAATGTTAGCATGTGTGCCTGCTGCTGCAACAGTAGGAAAAACAGCACTAGTAGCTGCTGGGACAGTAGGTTTGGCAGCAGCAGCAGCAGGAGGTGTAATGGGAGGCATCACTGGAAATGAAGCCGCTAAGGATGCAGAGTCACCTTTAGAAGCTGTACAGAAAACATATAAGGCTGTCCAAGGAAAAAGAAAAGCTTTTATTGAATTTTCGTAAGATTTTCTTAATAAGCAGATATTTATGTGAACATTTGATTATTTTATTACCTCTTGATAATGTTACATTACATATAATAGTTACATATTTAGGAGGCAGTACATAAATTTGTTTTTATTTGGAGGTTTTTGGGACTATTAAAGGTTTATTCAGCGGTTTCCGTCTTTTAGGCGCCTATTTTTTTTTCTTCGCTTACTTTGCCTTGGGCAACTGTGTCAAAATTTTTCATACAGTTGGGAATAAGGGAAACTGTGTAAGTTCGAGGAAGTACACACCAGACAGGCTATTTGTTATTTCATGTAAATATAGGTGAGGCCAAGCACACACCTATATTAGTCATAATTTAAGTGTAATAACATCCCACTAGGTGTGGCATGGAAAACGGTTAGAGCTTTACCCTTAGTATTATTGCTGTGGCTCAAGCAATGGAAGCTTTATAACGTTCACTGTCACAAATGAGATATTCAGAGTTCCATTTTATAGAAAAGTGTCCCCAGTACTGTTCTGAATTTATCATTAACAGCATGTGCAGTTGTTTGGTCATATGGCCCATATTTCAATTCAATTTTTAGTCTCATTTATATAGTACCAAATCACAATAACCGTGTCCTCAAAATCCTTTGAAAAGTAAAGATCAGACAATAGCACAGAGAAAACCCCAACTATCAAATGAACCTCTATAACAGGGGTGGGGGAACTAAACCCAGGGTGATATCCTTCAGTATGAGAGAGCTGTGACTGAGCGTTCATGGGGCTCATCTGGATTTCTATCTGCATCTCAAGTTATCTCATGTTACATACAAAACAAAGCACCGTCTGATAACCCATTTCTACATAAATGTGTAATTGCTGTTTCCAAAGAGAGGAACAGCTGCAAAAATCATCCCAAAACCTTCCATACACTTTCTTACTTAGACTACAAAGTCACATTGTCAAGTTTAAGATGGCCTGAATAATGGCCTCTCTCTCTCTCCCTCCCTTAGAGTAATGATAAAATTTATGTTTAATCGTGGCTCTAAGATATGCTTACAATACCTAATTCAAAGCTAATAATTATATCTAATGATGGCCCACTTAAAGCTGACGCTCCAGCACGTGTGTCAAAAACCACACTGCTTCAGAAGCACTGTGTCAAGGTTTGATTTGTTTGGCCAGAGTCATGTGATCAGTGACATTTAGAACCTATAGCTGATTCGATGGTTTATAAGGAAGTGGATCATTCGCGGGATTTGTGGAGTGCTTTCATAGTGAGTGACAACAAACCACTGACCATTCTATTGAGCGATACTGAGCCAGCAAGGAAGAGGGGAGGTTCTGTTGTGTGGGAGAATTTTGAGTTGATTTTCCTCAATCGGGTGGGTTTGCCAGCTTTCTATTCTTGTTGTTTGTCTTTGTTTTGATTGTGTTTCTTTTATTTTTAATAATATTATTTACAAACATACCTGTCCAGCTGTCCAGTGATTAATTGTATAAGTACCATAATGTGTTGTACATTGTTATATGTATATTAATGTGTTTTTCATTTATTGTATTTACCAACATCAAAAAGTCACAAGCAAAGAAAGACCACACACATGTTTAAATAAGGGAAGCTTATTGATCAAATTTATCTATTAAGCAAATAGACATAATTATTTCACCCAAAAAACATACATATTCAAAGCAACAAACGTGTAGGCCCAATATCAGACAGAACAGTGAACTCTGTAGAATGGGCATGTAGAATGGGCAGTCATAATGAAGCACTACACTTTAATTTGTAGATTCAAGCTGTTCTTCATAATTTTGGCCACCAGATGTCACCAGAGAGGAATGTGTTGAAAAGCTAGTATGAAGTGTTTTTAACACAAGCTTCAATGCTTCAGAAAGCTTCATTTGAGCATCTAATAGACTCCAGTTTGTTCATGTAAATCAGGGGTGGGAGACTCCAGGCCCAAAGGGCTGATGTCATGCAGGTTTTAGATGTCACCTTGGGTCAACACACCTGAAACAAATGATCAGTTCTTTACCAGGCATCCAGAGAAATCAAAAACATGTTGAGGAGGTAATTTATCCATTTAAATCAGCTGTGCTGGATCAAGGACACATCTAAAACCTGCAGGACACCGGCCCTTGATGCCTGGAGTTCCCCTACCCCTGATTGAATGAGTCCATTGCCTATCCAAAACCTAGAAACCTTCCCAATAAAGCAACGGGGACAGAGACAACTATAAGTGTTGATATGTGAGTGCTAGGTGAACTTAAGTCTGCTACTGCAAATGAAAACATCATAGTTTACACATACTACAATTGACTAGACAAGCTAACCAATGCCAGTCTAGTGAAAGGTCTGAACAAGAACACACTCCTGTTTATAAAAAAGATATTATTTTTTAAGTAATCATTATTACTTAGCAGTGATTGTTCCAGAATAAAACAAATATGGATTTGAATGCATTTCTCTGCCTATGGTAGTGCAGTGCTCCATAGTTGTATATGAACATTTAGAATATTGCTTTGTTGTTCTAAAACTGTCATATGCGAGTTTGCATATTTACTGTGCCACCCTACAATACTGTGATTTCCTACACATACTGTCAGTGCACTGTGTGCATGTGTAGTCATGTCATTACACTGACTCCATTAGTTACAGAAAACCTTGGAAGAACTTCTGCTTCCTAACAAAAGAATGATCAAAATACCTCTGAAATAAGTTTGAGTACACACTTGCTAGACCTCATATCACTGGAAAGAAATCTATAAACAATAATCAACAAAACTTTGTGAGGAAGCAATTTCACTCTCCTTCTGTCCAGCTGTAGCTTCAGGTCTACTCAGCACTCCCCACTTTTTTTGATTGCTTATTCACAATTACATCGGTCATTTCCTTTAAGGTAAAACTCAAAAAATTCTATTTGCATATGAATTGTGTCCTATAAACACACTTTCTTTGTCTTCCCTATCAGTTATTGAATAGTTGCATCCACCTCTAAAGTAATTACATTTTAATCTGTTTTGCAGAGCAAGCAAACAGCATGTAAGTTGGTAGATTACAGAACTACCTGACATTCAGCCACAATGTAGACAAAGCAGGATAACTTCTAAAAGTCTACAAATTAGATCTTCAGTTAAAGTGACTGCAAGCTACAAAAATGATCCAGAAGATACGAGCCAGCTGCTAAACAAACAGATGAGATCAAGAAAGTTCACCATTGATGCTACATGAGAAACAACATTTCTACTTAAGAAAACTCTTCAACTCTTGATTGAATTTACTGAGATGGCTCATCTCAACAGGCAGCAAAGGACGTGTGATCTACTTGTTGTGCGTCAGAACAGATTTTGTGTCAAGTCATTTTTATTAAATGTTTTGATGTTATGTTAGCTGTTTGACATATACATGTTATTCTGCAGTTTTATTTTTTATAAAAAATGTAGACACTAATCATTAAATGTTACAATTAAACTAAATAACCTTGTTTTTTGTTTGTTTTTGTAAATATAGTAGAAGTTTGAAAGATTTCTGTGAAACAGTGACAGAGACAATCCCTGCACAATACTTATGATCAGCACGTTTTGGAGAAATCCCTGCACAAACAAGAGAGAAGGTATTGAGACCGTTGCAGACAGCAGGATGTGACTGTGGTGATCAATATGCTTCAGCAACATTCATGTTGCTCACAATAAATCAATTTATAAAGTAAAACATACAGAGAAAAGTCTGCGTGTTTGATGGTAAATGGCCTGCATTTGTATAGCGCTTTTCTAGTCCATAGGACCCCAAAGCGCTTTACACTACATTCAGTCATCCACCCATTCACACACACATTTACACACACATTTACACACTGGCGATAGCAAGCTACATTGTAGCCACAGCTGCCCTGGGGCGCACTGACAGAGGCGAGGCTGCCGGACACAGGCGCCACCGGGCCCTCTGACCACCACCAGTAGGCAAACACGGGGTTAGTATCTTGCCCAAGGATATTTGGCATGCAGCCAGGATGCAGCCTGGGATCGAGCCACCGACCTTCTGATTAGTGGCTGACCTGCTCTGCCACCTGAGCTACAGCCACCCCATAACCACACAGATTTCCAGCTGTTTTTAAGGCTCTTTACAATCCACAGCAAAAATAATAATGAGAGAGATGGTGTTGTTTTCTTTCGAGCATGTGTAATAAATAGAAGCGGTAGTATCAAATAAATAATTAAACAATTGCGGAGACCACCCCAAATGTCTCTGGCATGCGTCGAAGCAGCAGGTACCCATTACCTCGTTTAGTCGTAGTCACGTGACCTGGGTATTTAGCCCCGCACTTCGGAGGATGCAAGCTGCCGTTAAACTCGACTGAAGAAGAAGAAGAAGAGCGTTTTAATACGTCTGTATCGACTTTTGTTTTGGTTAGTACGCCCAGCTTTGCGGACCAACTTCTTTGTGGTCTGATGCTGCTGCGCCACCTCCACCCTTGTTACGCATGACACGTAGCACCAATCAGTGTTGAGACCCCGGATTGTTTGCCGCGCTTGGCTCACAGGTGAATTGATTACAGTGTTTCTTAAATAAGGTGCGACTATTTGCGGTTCCTGTCAATGGACTGCGCTTTTGATTTGGTGGGTCTCATATTACAGATAGTGTATTAGTAGAGCATGTACTGAAGAGGCTTAGGGCCACCAGGGAAAAAAAAATATGTGACTGGTTCTGCAACCCAATTTGTCTCCTTGTTAAATGTTGAGTGTCCGTCCAGTTCACGTGGTCTGTTGCCGAGCCTGGTATTTTTATTTTCTGTACAAGTTTTCGTAATGTGCAGTTTATCGGTGGCATCTGCTAGTTCGTAACTCCCACAGTATATAAATTTTACAGTAATGATGAATCGGAAACGCTAAGATTTTAAACCTCCGCTTTTTCAGAGAAAACGAGAAGTGTTCTTCACGTGGATTTCATCCAAATGGCAGAGAAGTGGCAGCCGCAGTGTGGCGTCGAGTTAGAGCCGAATCAGTTTTACTGCGCGGTATGATGTCTGGACCTGCTCAAAGATCCCGTCACCATCCAGTGTGGACACACTTACTGCAGAAGCTGTATCGAGGGATGCTGGGACCAGGAAAATGAGAAGGGAACGTACAGCTGTCCTCAGTGTAGGGAGGCCTTCAGCCCAAGGCCTGTCCTCGGGAGGAACAACATGCTGGCTGAGGTGATGTATCCACGGTGCTGCTTGGAAAATAAATAAAATGAAACTAAATAAAATGACAATAAAACGTAGCAAGTTAACTAAAGTTCAAATACTCGGAGCTCAGAGAAATACTTAACGAGAAATATTTTTCTTTTTCTAAATTATTCTTTCTGATATTATCATTATCCAATTTCTAGTTTGTTTTCATTTATAAACAGATTTTCATTAATGGTGTGGTGGTTTGCTTGGTTTGATTCTAGTCTGAGACGCATCCCTTTGGGTTGAGTCAGGAAGGGCAGCTGGTATAAGTGAGTACAGTGAACTCATTGTTATGTTTAAGAAACCAGTTTGAGATGATTTGAGCTTTGAGATGGTGTGTTAGCCTGCTGGAAGTAGCCATCAGTAGATGACATGCTGCGGTCATAAAAGCATGGACATGGTAGGCAACAATACTTTGGTAGACTGTGGTGTTTCGGTGATGCTGTGTTTGGACTGGGGGGAGGGGCAAAGTGTGCCAGAGGATATCGCCTCTACGGCATTCTAACACAAACCGGAACTGATGCAAAGCAGGATGGATCCATGCTCTTATATTGTTCATGCCAAAGTTGCAGGAGAAATGTGTTCTTCAGAACCAGCGACAATCTTCTTCAGTAGTCTAATTTTGGTGAGCGTGTGTGAATTCTGGCCTGAGTTGTGTGTTCTTTGCTGTGGAAGTGGCTGTTGCAGATCATCTGCTCAGTTTGAATCTCAGCAGGTGATCTTGACCATGTCTACATGCCTAAATGCAGCGAGTTGCTGCCATGTGTTTAGTTGATTAGATATTTGTGTTGAAACAAGCAGATGAACAGATGCACCTCATAAAGTGTCCAGTAATCATAATTTTATATTTTCTTTGGCATGTCATTAGATTTTCTTGTGGGTGTTTGCATTGTCTGCTCTTGTTACCCCTAAAATATTTAAATGAATTATATTATCATCATAGCACATGCTTTCTAAATGATAGTGCTGTCTTAAAATAAATAACACATTTTTCTATAGTTTCGATTTGGTTTGTCGTGCAAAACCTCTGACTGCTTTTATTTGATCACTGTAGGTTGTAGAGAAGCTGAAGAGGACAGTAACCCAACAGGCCCGTCCAGCTTCTCCTCTTGCTCCTGCAGGACCAACAGACATTGCCTGTGATTTCTGTTGTGGGACCAAAAGAAACAAAGCCAGCATGTCTTGCCTGACTTGCTTGGCATCGTACTGTCCTGCACATCTTGAGCCTCACCACAGTTTTCCTGTGCTGAAGCTTCACCAGCTGGTGTCTGCTACAGTGCCACTTAAGGAAAAAATGTGCACAAAGCACAACAAGCTGATGGAGGTTTACTGTAAAACTGATCGAAGGTGTATCTGCTATTTGTGCACCATGGATGATCACAGGCGCCACTCAACAGTGTCAGCTGAAGCAGAAAGAGCTGCTGAGCAGGTAGAGACAAAAAGCCAATGTAAATCTGGAGAGTGGTTGAATTTGACTCCTGTGACTGAAATATTCACAATGACACATTCGTGGTTGCTTCTTACAGGTAAAACTTGGTAAGATCCAGAGTGCAGTCAAGCGGAGATTCCAGGAGAGACAAGAGGAGCTGAATGAGCTGGTCAAAGCTGTGAAGGACTTTGAGGTGTGGAAATAAGACTGGAAAACATGTTTCTGCTCGGACCACAGCAGTGTCTTTTGTACAGGTTCTGACATCTGGCAGTGAGAACTGATAACATGACTGTCTGTAATTGCAACACGTATTCCTGCATTTTGGCGTACACCTGCTACGTTTGTTTTGAATTAATTTTATGTTCATATGTTTTTGCCAGGAACAAAGTGAATCTAGAAAACTTTCTGCTATGTTGTGCATCTATTGTAAATTGAACCACCTTTATACATTATATATAAACAGATTTGTTGTCAGACTGCTGTGAAGTCCAATGACAGGCTCTTTGACAAGCTGACCTCCTCCATCCAAAAACGACGTGCTTTAATGAAGGAGTTGATTGAAGCTCGGAGGAAAACTGCAATAGCTGAGGCAGAAGATCTGCAGATGCAGCTGGAGGAGGAGATAGCCAAGCTGAGGAGAAGAGATGCTGATGTGGAGCAGCTTTCTCACACAGCTGACCATATTCATTTCATTCAGGTAAAAGTTGTGTTCTAGACCAACCAGTCTTTCTTTTTATAATTTTCACCTCGTACACATTTTATTATTTCAATTCAGAATCAATCAAGCATCTATAGCTGCAAGACACAAGTATTAGTAAAATGTGCTAGAGAATATTACACCCATGTTTCCATATTTTGGCTATATTATCTGTGAAACCAGCTGCCTGATTTGGACTTTGGGAATATTGTGTGCCTTTATATACGGAAAGATAAACATGTCAGGTTCCTATCTGCAACATGGCAGTTTCTGCAGGCCTCCAAATCTGTTAATTTGCAGAGCCATAGTACAGGAGACTCCCCCACCCCAGATTTGAAGGACCTAGATCAAGTAGTTTTCAGTTAAAACTCCTGGAGAACAATGCTAGAAAGACTTCTAAAAACACTCTCACCTTGGCAGCAGGGACATGACACTTCCCATTAGGAAGTGTCATGTCCCTGGAATTGTTTTAATGAATTGAAACAGAATGTTCCATGTAACATGCAGTTAATATACTTTTTCTGTTCTGACTTGTCATTTTTCCTCTAGATCTTCCAGTCTCTCTCAATCTCATGTGAATCGCCAGACCTGCCAAGAGGTGCTATTATTCGTCCTAAACATTCGATGAAAACGGTGACTGACTATGTGTCTGACCTGACATATGACATGAAAAACCTTCTGGAGACCACATGGCCTGAGATCTCTGCAACAGGTGCGCATATATGTAAAGGTGCCTGAAGGAAATATTAAATAAGTTGAATACAGTTCCTCTGTTTTCTATTTTTATATATATATATATTTCTTTTCCCTGTTAGTGGCTGTTACAGATGTTGTGCTGCCACCTGTGCCAAAGACCAGGGGAGAGTTATTGCGCTGTAAGTAAAACTGTTAAGGCAGATCATTATATAAATGAAGTAATCACTTAATAAATACTAGAAGGCTGATGATATTCCTGGTTTGCTTGTC